CCTGGAAGTGCCAGGTTTCCGGCCTCCCCGGGGAGGTAAGAAGGGCCCCCAGTTGGCTTTTGTCGCCTTTGGTGGTGGTAGTCCGTGCCAGTTGGCTGTGGGAAGCAGGTATTTCTTTTTGGCAGGGTGCTGTAATGATTAGGGCTGAACAAGCTTTTCCTCTCGCACCCCGTCTCTTTTCCTTTCCTTTTTTCGCCCTGTTCACGCGCGCGCGAGACGTGCAGACAGGGTTGCCAACTTTTCCAGGTGAGAGCGAATGGCGCGGTTCACGCCTCTCTACAAACCAAAAGTTTCAAGTCGTCGCCGCGCAGGCGGACGGGGGCTGTCCCAGGAGATGCAACTTGATGAGAGGCGGGGGCCCTGGGCGACCCGCTGAAGAGCAGGCTGCACAAGCAGCCACACAAGTCAGCTTTGGGAGCTCTCGGCGACGCCCAATGCGTGCGCCGGTGGGGGGGAGTGTGCGCGCGCGTGTGTGAGATGTGGATTGTGGCAGGCCTGCTGCTGCTGATGGGAATTGCTCTGTGTGTGGCGCTGCGCTGGCGTGCGGCGCGCGCGTGCTGTGCGCGTGTGCGTGTTGGATCCGCGCGTGCGTCTGCGTGTGCTGCGCGCGCGCCGCCGGTGTGTGCCGTGTGCTGTACTCTGCTGTGCGCCTGTTTGTGAGTCTTTGAGGCGCAGGCCTGGCTGGCAGGGCTGCGCGGTGGGCTGCGGCGCGCTGCGGGTGGTTGTGCGCCTGCCTGGTGGTGTGCGGCGGCCGCGCAACCCGCCCGACCGGGTCGTCGGCGGCCCAGGGCGCGAGCATGCGGTCGGCGCTGCATGTGAGGCTGCTGCGCGGCTGGCGCGTATGTTTCCGTGCGATGAGGGACGCGCGTATGTGTTCACGCTGCGGGCGCGGGCGGGCGCGGGGGGCGGCGTGGTCTCACCGCGGTCCGACGCCGGTTGGTCTTCGGCGTGACGAGGGCGGGCGCGCAGAGAGGCCTTGCCGCCGTCGCGTTGCCGCGAAGGAAAAAGAATTTTTTTGGTGAGGGTCGTAAGAATCAAAGCCTCTTGGTGCCAAACGTGCTCGAGCGCGCCGAAGAGAGACGATCTACGCTGGGTACGCTCGAGGGAGTTAGCGAAAGTCGCACGGGCAGAGGGGAGACCGAGCGGCCTCCGGCAGTCCGCACCGCCTCGGCGGGGCCACTGGCACTAACAGAATTTTCAGTGTACTTTAGAGTATGTAGCTCTTACGTACATTCCCGGAGGTAGGAGGACTGCGAACGGAGAGAGAGAGAGTTTTGTTTTGTTTTGTTGTTTGCGAACGGTGTTTTACGAACAACCTCGGACATTTTACGAACTCCTTGGCGACGTGCGCGTCGCGTCGCCAAGGCTCTGCGACCTCGGTCGTACCATCGGCGACCTCGGTCGCACAACCGGCCGGCTGCGCGGGTTTTCAGCCAGGTTCCCGCGCACCGGCCACGAACTCGACTCGCACAGCAAAAAAATCCGGTGCTCGCGCGCCGCTCCCACGCTCGACCACACACTCGCTGCACTGCTCAAAGCCAACCCTACCTCACTGGCCGCCTCCAACACTGTCCCGCGGCCGCGTCTCGCGCCCCAACTGACAACTCATCTCCCGCGCACCGGCCACGAACTCGACTCGCACAGCAAAAAAAATCCGGTGCTCGCGCGCCGCTCCCACGCTCGACCACACACTCGCTGCACTGCTCAAAGCCAACCCTATCTCACTGGCCGCCTCCAACACTGTCCCGCGCGTCTCGCGCCCCAACTGACAACTCATCATTGTCCCTCGGACACCACTCTCCAGCCGCGCTACCTTCGCCCACCTACCGCTCTCGCATGACATCTCGACAATCCTCACATCTCCAGGCCCAAGACTCCTAACCACTGCCCCTGCTCGCCCAGGACCACAAAGCGCCACCCGCGCGCCCATTGACCCCCCAATCAACCCACTTGCTGTCCCTCAATCGCCACCCGCCAGATGTACTTCCCTTGCCCACCCAATACTCTCACCCTCCTGACCCGGACAGTCCAGGTACAGGAAAAGCGGGGAGCGGGGCCCGATCCAAGGAGCACCCCGTCGGCCCGGGAGGGCTGTGAATTTCGGCGCGGGCGGAAGGCTGCCTGCAGACGCTCAGCCCCCACCTGATCGTCCAGCCCCTCAAATCCGGCAAGACTGACTTGGGCTGGGAGTGCAACGATCGCCGCAATGATGCTGAGCATTTCGACCCCTCGATCGCTGTAGGCCTATGCCGCTCCTGTGTTCGAAAGGGAGGGCGGCTCGGTGCAACGTTGGAGGCATCCGTGGAGGCGCAGGGCAGGGGCGACCTATCCTTGGGGGGCGTGCGTTGATGGCGGCGCAGGAAGGCACATTTCGCGCCAGAGTGAGGCTGTTGCTCTAAGTGCTGGGCTGGTGTGGGAGCACGTTGGTGTCGCACAAGTGCAGTGCGATAGTCAGTGGCTGGCTGGTGCTGCATGCGGTGCTGGCCTCGACGGAGACAAGGCACGGCGGTGGTGACTGTGCGTTGGTAGGCCGTGCTCGCGCCCGAATGGGCAGTCCGATGGGCGTACGAGCGGGCCGCGCCTGGAGTGCAAAGATGGTAAGGCCCGCCGTCAGCACGAAACAGACTTTTTGCAATAGTGTTGCGGCACACGTTGATTGCTGTGCACCGAAAGTTTCGTCCTCGTCGCTTTGGGGTCACAGACTGACAGACAGCGGGGTGGGACATTGAGACCGGTCATGAATGAGTGCGCGACATTCACACGACAGACAAGGCGCGGGCGACGGCTTCCTCAGAAGCCGTCGCCCTCCACGAGCCACGTGAGAAAGGATTCTGCGCGGCGCGCCACAGCGCACACAGGCCCAGCCCAGGTGCCCCCTCCTGCGCGCCAACGAGAACGAATCGGAGGCCCCCGTCTCGCGCGTGCAAAGCATTTGGCCTTTCGCTTTCCTCTGCTCTCGGCCGCTTAAAAAATCTTCTAAGACGCAAGATAGGGGCTGTCACGTGTACAGGCTGGGGCAGAAGACCACGTCGCGCACGAGGAGCTTTTGCGCCGCCTCGCACTTGGCCTGCAGCTCCTCGTTGCCGACCACCTTTGCGGCGTCGATGATCTGGCGCAGCAGCTCCTCGAGCCGATGCATCGCCCGGATGATCGAGCCCTCGTACGCGTCGGTCATTTTGCAGAGGTCGGCGAACTTTGCGCCGCCACACCAGTCAAAGACGAGGTCGACCAGGCCGGTGGCGAAGCGCGCAATGTACTCGTCCACATCCACCGGCAGCTTCGCCTCGAGCACGACGGTCGCCACGCGCTTGGCCAGCTCGCGCATCCGCTCGACCGGCTCGCGCATCTCGCGCGTGCGGATCATCGCCACCGGGTCCTCCTTCTTGCCGTCCTTGCCCTTGCCGCCGCTGCCGCCGAACCCGTGCTCCGCCACGAGGCACGACAGGAGCGCGGCCAGCTGCGCGGGATCGAGGTCCTGGAAGAGGCCCGCGAACACGAGCTCGGTCACGAGCAGCTCGTCCGAGGTGCTCACCTCGCACGCCACCCGCCCC